AGAGTGTTGTCTTATTTATGCCATTTTTTTTTTCTCGTTCAAAGTTTGCCGAAATCCTCTTCTATCGCAACCTAAGAATTGTTTCATTTCATATGATGTTGGCAATTCACATATGATAGGAAATATGATGAAAATGATGGTATACTTTTAGAAAAAACTATTACCAAGTTTCTTGTGTGCATTTAATGTGAGTGAATGTTGCTAATATTAATGGTTATATACTTTAAGAAATTATAGAATATTTTTTTCCCTTGATGCAGTTGATGCATTGTGTTTGTTATTGACTTTTTTAACTGTAATAAATCATCTCGCTTTTAATGAGATGAAAGTGGTTATTTTGAGGTTTTGTGATGCTTCTGCTTCGCATGAAATGTTTATTAAATTTTTTTTCAAATTATTTAAGTTGTAGCTAATGAATATGCTAATTAATTCAATAAATTAATTTTTTTGGTATTTTAATGAATTAATTTAGTATTTATTTATATTATTTGAATTCAAGAAAACTTACTTGCAATATATATATTTTCTTATTTAAATTATGTATAATAATTAAATATCCTTTCATAATCTATTCAATTGCTCATTTTCTTAGATTTGTTTGTAAAATTATTTGTTAAGAATTTCATATGACATTCGTTCGAATTTTTGGCTTGTCTATTGACTCGTTTCATTGGCATAAATAAGTTAAGTATAAATCAATGTTAAGTATTATAAAATTTAAACATGCCAATCTTGATCATACATGTAACTGCTTGGCTCAACTTCATACCGAACATGAACAACTTATAATATTACCAAGCCAAGTTTAATATATGATATACTCAAACTCAACTCTGCTGGATTACAGCCCTAATGCTGATTCTTATAAGAAAAAGAAGCTTTATAAATTCCAGAAATTATTCTTTGGGAAATTTATATAAATACTGAATTTGTATGTATTTACATATATAACACCTAAATTTTAATTGCTATATATATGACACCTTATCTAATGTATGAAAATATTTATTTCACACTGATTTGAGTTGTGTGTATGTAAATACCCCTCATTCTTTTTATCGCAACAATGTAATTATTCAAAATAAAGTGATTTATGAGTGATATTTCTGATTCTTATTTTCTTCAGTTGTCACGCGCTGCGTGATTTTCACACGCAAAAAAGGGGGAAAAAATTCACACTACCACGAACTTCATTGCCTTTTTTTTTCTTTTGAATAAGATGGGTTTATCATGTTTATGTCTTCAACCCAAGCTATGATGACCTCATTGGCTCTTCATTTTTTGCAGTGCTATCAGCTATATCAGGCCTCAGAGTTAAGGTACCTGAGCTGCATGAAAGTGAGCGCCCCACCCCACCCTATTTCAGCACATTGCAAAAGAATTATTTTATACGATGGCTAACGTCATTATTTTTGAATTCATCACTTTTGCTTTCAATTTGAAATCTTGACCATGATTAGATTCTTATTGGGTTTTAGTTTGATTTAATTATCCTCATCATTTACAGTCTATCATCTTTGTTTATGATTGGTTACATTGAACACTTTTTTTTTCTGTGATTGTCTTTTAAGCATCTTGATCAAACTATGTTTCAATGCAGATTACACAGTGGTCATTTCTTGTTTTATTTTAGCGGGCCTTTTTACATTGCAACAATATGGGACGCATAGAGTTGGATTCCTTTTTGCTCCTGTTCTAATTACTTGGATGGGATGCCTCGGTATGATGGGCATGTACAACATTTTCAAGTGGAATCCTGCTATTGTTCGAGCTTTATCGCCATATTATATTTATAAATTTCTTAGAGTGGTTGAAAAAGATCAATGGAGCTCACTTGGAGGAATTGCTCTTTGTATTACAGGTATGAGAATAGCAATTTGAGACTGCGTTTTGTTTACTGATGCTCTTGCTAATAGTTTTCATCATCAGGGGCTGAAGCCATGTTTGCTGATCTTGGTCACTTCTCAAAGCTATCTCTCAGAGTACAATCTTTTCGCTTCTTTTCGAAAATGCACAGGCTATCTGCTGTTTTCTTTTGTTAGGGAGGACTACAACTTTTAATAATTATTATCTCCTAATATATTCCTATCTTTTTACAATAGTTAATTAAAGGTATTGGACTTGTCTGGCATTGCTATTGAGATGCTTTGTCTTTCAAAACTGTATTACAATTTTTTATTTTAATGAGAAGCATGTGAAGAAATAAATTCCTCGTATTTGTATCTTGAATACGTTAAATCAAATTGATGATGGTGGGTGGCCTTTTGGTGGGATTGGTAGCTGAAAATAACTACGGGTGTGTAGTTTAGCTGTGATCCAGAACGATGGTGTGAAAATGAGTGATTTGGAGGGTATATTGGAGGAAAAATTATGGCTGATCTGTGTTGGGTTAGTTTAGGTTGATCTAAAAGTTCTCTTTTAGACTTGGGTGTTAAGTTAAATGCGTGAAAACTATGGTGGAGAGTTAGGTTAAGATGTGAACTTATTATCTGGAGTAATTGGTGGGATTTAGTGGACATTAATGGTTGTAGTGAAGTAGGGAATAAGACTATAGGTCTTAGTCTTTTCTGATTTAGTCAAGATATTAAAGGATGTGTTTGGAGTGGGTGTGGACCTTGGTAAGGAATGGTTGGTCTTGGGAGATGCTTGGTTGTGGAGGAAGATGCGAGGAAGGTTTAGATCAACTGTAGAGAGGAGCGATAATTAAATTTAAAGAATATAAATGGGTAACTGCCAATCTCATCAAAGATAAGCATACATGGAAGCCACTACGCACAACGTAATGATAAGAGCATTTCTACATCAAAATTTATGATTTAAAATAAGAAAATTACAAAGCATATCAGCCTATATTTTGAGGCATTAGAAGACTCTTTGACTATAATTTCTGGAGGAAAATTCGACGGGGTAAGCCACTTAATGCACAGAGTGGTTTCACCATCCATTTAATATAACTCATTTTTTCCAGTCTTTTCTCTTGTAATTAGACCTACGAGCTAATCCAATATTTGATATGCTACATCACTGCTGACTTTGGACTTGCTCCAGTAGTCAACTCAAACAAATATGCTGAAAACAGTCAACAATGAACGCTATAATATATGATTTGAGTCTGAATTGCCTCGACAACTATCAATGTTGCCCAAATTTTGTCCAATTACAGAAATGGACTACCGCAATTAATCCGGAATGTAAAAAATACCTATAATCGACAATCATATTGCATAGGTCTTCACATAAACGTGATATACAGAATTGGGCAACCGTATGCATGTTTTGCAAATTCTCAAATTTTTTCCAGGTATAAATTCTCAAATACACTAAATACTTGTGCATATTGTTTCAACATGACAGGAAAAAGCCTATCAAACTAAGTACCCGTATATGTTGTTTAATTAACTAAGTTTTCGTGTATGCTGTTTAATGTCACGGGAAAACCTGCCGATTAAGTACTTGTGCACTTTGTTTCTATATGGCGGAAAAATTTGTCTCTCATATGCATGTTTTTTTAAGCACGGTAGATGTAAAGACCCCCGACATGCGCGTTGTAAGTCACCGACCATACAAGCTTTTCCATGCAGCTCCCTACTTGGGGAAGACGTCGGAATGCTGATAGATTTTTGATTGATAAAGGACCTAAAAATAATCTAACAAATAATCTAACTATGACCCATGACCCAAAAAAAAAAAAAAACCTAAAGAATGACTTGTAAGAACTTGAAGACAATCAAATGAGCACAAATTTTTTTACAAATTTTTTGAAACAAAATGATGAAACACAAAGGTATGAATGTAAGTGGACATGAAAAATACTTTACAGGAAACATTAAACATAAATTGAACATTATATTTGACTATTAGGGGACTTAAAAAATAACTTAGTGATGCACTAATAACTTGAGCAGAACCTCTTAACTCCAACTACACACCCTCAGCCTTCCAAGTCTTCAACCAAATGGTAAAAATGAGCCAAAATCTCTCTCTATTTATAGGAAAATATTTACTGTAATCCACTTAAGTCTATAAGATCCGAAAATCCACAACAGCTCTCCTCGAGAATTCTCTGTGTTTTATTAGTTTTGTTTTTTTTTTTTTTGAGAGAGAGCTTCGTGGGGTCAGATTTTCAAAAGACAGATTAGATTGTAGATAAACCACTACCCAGAGATTTCAATCTCATTTAGCGAGGAATTTTTGATATGGGGTTTGAGGTTTCTCATAGATGCAAGCCCTTATGGTTAATTACCTCTCCTGCTTACGGGAGAGCACTTTCGATTAAGACTAGTCGTTAAGATTTGAATATTCAACATATAATAACAACTAACTTAAGATTTTTAGTTCTAGAATTCAGAACTTGAAGCCTAAAGTGGATGGTGGGGGAATGAAGATGAAACCCGATCAAGATCTGATATTTCCGTCATCCCACGCCATCAGTCCCTAATTTACTTATAGTTAGAGGAAACAGTTGACCCAATCTAACAGAAGAATTCTTATCAACAGACATGGGTTGCATTGCCTAAGAGATCTTTATAGATCTAGGGTGGATGTTTGCCCAAGGGGACAAATGTACATTGATCTTAGTTAACAAAAGGCTTTATGTCAATCAATTGCACTCTTATAATTTACAACTCAAATGGTAAAAAGTTGTAGAGGAACATACGCGATGCGACTGTAACCGTAATATAATAGTGTCATTTGGTGGCAATCATTTGGTCAGAGGACTCTCGTAATAACCGCTACTTTGTGGCTCAATTTTACTATAAGCATGTCATATTCAAAATCCGTTTAACCTTCCAATTATGCCCAAAAGCCTTTCAAACACAGTTTTTTTACTTGATTAATGTTTTATTTCACTCGGATTGGATTTATTTTGGTAATGTTTGGTCCGTGTTGTCTAGTCAGTTAGTCAGTTTGACAACATGTTTGTTGAATCTGTCCTTTAATCTAAGCTTAAATGTTTCTTGATAAAAATTCACCTCGGGATCTGTGTCATGCCTCGAGATTCATGAAAGAAGATAGAAACTTGTTGGTGGCATATCAAGGACCATTTTAAAAATTAAATGTATGCAATTTTATTATGATAAAGGATATTATACATAGAATTAAAAAATTATTCGTATTGAGAGAATGGTACTAAGTACTCCCCACCGAGATATTCATTGGAATAATGAATAAAATTTTGAATGAATGTGCATTGGGCAAGATATTGCACATTGAATTGCTAAAAATATTTTGAGTTGATGTAGCGAACACAACAATATATATATCACCATTCAAGGACCAGATGTTAATTTTGGGTTTCCAGAAGAAACCTAGAGTAGGAAAAAGATACATATTTCACAATCAATAGTTTTAGAATTCCTTTTTTTATTTGCATATAGATTATAATGAAAGAGACAAGTTTGACTGAATTTAAATATGATTATTTAGATACTTAAAAAATAAGAAAAAAATTTAAAGTAGAAATATTATTTTCAATGAGCTATAAGGCCAGGCAATAATGAAAAAAAGACATCAATAACAAGACATGTTAAATTACAAGAGGCCATTAATTTGATAAAAAGTAGAAGAGCATAGAAATTAATCAAAACCAACCTCAGATCAACACTCATCTGACAAAAGTTCCAAAGCTTATTTATGATTTTATATTATTTTATATTTATTGATGCATGTGAACTTTAATGTTATGAGGAAGTATTAAGTTATTCATTTAGTGGGAAATAATCATGTGGGAGCTAATCATAAGTAGATCCTAAACTACTAGAAGAAATAATTAATCACCCATTGAAATTTGAAAAGTTTGAACTAAAACTACATGGGCATTTTGATTCTAATCTCGGATGAGACTTAGATACAAGGAGAAGTGCTATTATGTACATTTACACCTTTGGTAATACTGCTATCAATTGGTTGCTATAAGATAGTTGCATTATCAACTATAGAGGTTTAATACACTGCTTTCATGAAATCCAGCGAGGAGATGGTTTGGATGACAAGATGCTTGGCAGAAATGAATCAGTCACAAGAAGATATCACTCTCTGTTATGACAATCGAAGTTTTATTCAATTGGGAAAGAGCACCTCCTTCCATTCTCAAAAAAATTATAACTCAAATATCATTATATCCGCAGCTTGCTGAAAGTTGATGATGCTTTATAGATCATAAAAATCTTACAAATAGGCTTTGCAAAGTCTCAATTAATTTCTGCAAGGTGGTTATATGGAGGTGTAAAATAAATAGGTGTTCGGACACCAAACCCTTAAACGTACGCTCATGTCAAAAATCTTATCTTTAATTATGTACAAATTATATGGACGTTTGATTCAATGCTCGCATTTAAAAATATTTAGATGATCTTACCGAATTATTTAAATGTCTTTTGATTGCAAATTTGGTGTGTTTATTTTTCATCTTTATCTAATCTTGTTCAAAGTTTTAGTACTATCATAATATGGACTGTTTAAGGAAAATATTCATGCGTTATTTGCGTTTTCATTTTCATTTTATTAAGCAGTAAATCTATTTTGTTGCAGATTGCATTTTCAACCCTAGTTTTTCCGTGTTTGGTCATAGCATACATGGGTGAAGCCGCTTTCCTTTCCAAGCACGAAGAGGATCCTAAAATGAGTTTTTACAAATCTATCCCAGGCACAGACCTAAGTCTTTTACCTTATTTCACATTCTCTCTGTTTGTATGATCAGACTAACTTTGCTGATTAAATCTTTTCTATTAAAATATAGAGAACATATTTTGGCCAGTATATGTAATTGCCACAATAGCAACCATAGCTGCAAGCCAGCCGACAATTTCAGCTACTTTCTCCATAATCAATCAATGTAGAGCCCTCAACTGCTTTCCTCGTGTGAAGATCATACATACATCCAACCATGTCCTTGGCCAGATATACATCCCAGAAATCAATTGGCTTTTAATGATTTTATGCATGTCTGTCACAATTGGCTTCAGAGATACCATGACAATTGGAAATGCTTATGGTGCGTGTTCCCCGAAGTTTGATCATTACACTTATAACATCTTGGTGTCATAAACTTATACGTGAAAAGGTGTATTTCACTTTTAAAATGATAGTGTTTGTGATATTTTGATGTGATATTAAAGATATTAGGTGTTTTGCATGTAAATATATAAGATCAGTGTGGTCTTGCAAAAAATTCACAATTTCTCTATTTTGTCCAGAGCTTTCAGTGATCACAGTAATGCTCGTCACAACATGCCTCATGTTCCTCATCATCACCACTGTGTGGAATCAAAACATTCTCTTAGCAATTCTCTTCACCGTCAGCTTTGGCTCTGTGGAGCTTTTCTACTTATCAGCCTGCCTTGCCAAGTTAAAACATGGAGGCTGGCTTCCTCTCGTCCTCTCTCTGATCATTCTACTTGTTATGTCTATTTGGCATTATGGCTCGTCAATGAAACTTTCCTATGAGCTACAGAACAAAGTCCATCTTGATAGCATTCTAAACTTCAACACCAACCTCGGCCTTCTCCGTGTTCCTGGCATTTGTTTCGTCTTCTCCACAATCCCAGACGTCATTCCCCCAATGTTTTTTCACTTCATCACCAACTTCTCTGCCGTCCATCGCATCATAATCTTTGTAAGCATGAAAACCGTTGCCTTGCCAAGGGTCCCACTTGAAGAGCGTTTTTTGGTCAGCAGAATTGGTCCTAAAGAGTTTGGCTTCTTTGGCTGCATTGTAACATACGGGTATAAGGATTCTCGTGTGGAAAGTGGTCAGTTTGAAGAGAATCTGCTCAACAAACTTTCAGAATTTCTGCTGCATGAAGGTGGCGAGGTTGTTGATTGGTCTTCTGATCTATTTGTGAATGATGTTTCTAGTTCTGATGAATCTGATAAGAACTTAATGATGGAGAGAAGAGAGAAGGCTCCATTGAGAGATGAGGTGATGCAGTTGATGGAGCAAAGGGAAGCTGGTGTGGCTTACATGATTGGTCACACAGAAGTCCTTGCTCATTCTTCCTCATCTGTGCTGAAGAAGAATGTGATAAACTTGGTCTATGGATTTATGAGACGGAATTGCCGGCAGGTCGCGGTGGCGCTGGGGATCCCGAGGCCTTCATTGATGCAGGTTGGCATAGTTTATCGTGTTTGATTGATTGTAGATGGTGATTCTCTTTCTCTGTTGCCTACCAGCAGAAATATGAAGCCTCTTTCAGGTTTCATTAGTATCCAGCCTGAAGGGAAAAAGCTGATTCTTTTTTCTGCAATAAGTTGACCGATCTATCCTTTTCAACTCAGGGGCTGCATGGTAACGATTTCAACAGCTTTACTAAATCTTGTAAATTAGGATTTATTAAATCTTTTCAACAATAGGATTTCGTAAATCCAGGATTTAAGACAAAACTAAGAAGGAATTGGGAAGAATTGAATTTAACAAATTCTGGATTTAAAAATGGCATTTTTTTTCTGTCTAAGATTCAAGTTAAAACTGACTTACATCTGTTATCATACGGCCCTTTAGTGTTTGTATGCTTAACTTATTGCGCACAGGAAGTTATTGCTGATACAGTTCAGGAGTGAAAAATCATCTTCATTTGATGCAGGACTCTCATCTGTATTCATTCTGACAAATCATGTATCTCCATGAAAGCCAGACTTCATAAAGGCAAATATTGGAAATAATAATAGCAAAAGCAATATATTAATCATTAATTTTCTTCTTTGGGGAATTATCTAAAATATCTTGGAATTGTCTACCTTAAATTCTCTTACTATTTTCTCAACCAATTTCTTACGTTAGAATTATTTCAGGTACTGTAAATTTTTGTTGGTGATTTTCCTAAGTTTTGGTTTTTCTAGACATTTATTGTTTTGGAATATGATTTGGAATTTGCTAATGTGGACATTATGTTATCTATCAAGCATATTATTCCTATTCTTGCTATTATGGTGCATATTAAGTCAATTTTTTTTTTCAATTTGAAATTATTAAAGAAATATTTGACTCTTTATGTCTTCAAATATCTGAAATTTTTACACATGTTTAAATGGAATTTAAGCACCATTAGAACAATATTCAAAGTTGGTTCATATCTCATTCAAATATGGTTTATTTACGATAGATATAATAGAGTTTAATCTAATTGCTATAACACAATGTATGTGTGTGGAGATGAACAATCGAAGTATAAATATTTAAGATCATGATAAATAATCAGTATTTGAATCAATCAAAGAATTCATATCAACTATACATATGGTGCACTATATATTTCTCATGTTGAAGCCCCTTCCCTTTTTTCGGACCACCAACCTTCAGCTTCACTAACGGGATTGGTACAACAACATTTCATGCAGAACATGCAAGTGTTCCCATTTTTGCCATCGTATATAGTTGATCATAATTCTTATGCATAAAATTTAGAGCATTAGTTATAATAACAAACACTACAATTTCAAGTTGTAGCCAACATATATGCTCACACGGGAGCCCCATCATATCAAACTTCTTACATGTATGTATTTTTAAAAAAAAATCAATATCATTATAATTCACGCATGTTGGAATATTTGTGATGGTAGAATGATTATTTAGTGTTTTAGTGTTGCACGAAAATCAAGTCCACACTTAGGTAATTAAAGTAACTGATAGCATGAAAAGACACCTCATTTTTTATGTAAAGACCCTGGAAATGAAAAAAAAAACCATCAGGTCTAACCCAGTTGAAATAATTCACTTTGTAATTGTGAGGACATAAACTCACTCTTCTCGTAAGTTAGGTAAGATGGAATTACATAATCGATGTACAAAGAAAGTTCAACAATAAAAATTGTAACAGGCCACAAAAGTCGTTGTTGATTTGTTATAAAGACAGTAGTTTGTCGTGAATAATATAGACGGTGGTTGTAGTGACAACTTATCATAGAAGTCGTGATAGAAAGACATGATAGTTGTTGGTCATGTGGGTCATAAATGGTTGCTTCAAGAGCATCAGTTGACAACAGAGGTTGTAGTAGGGTGATGTAGGAGCTGTGAGCCACATCGACTGTATTTGGTCGCATAGGTTGTAGGGTTGAGTAATGATAACGTGTGTAGTCCATAGAGGTCAAAGTTGGGTGATGCAATAGTTGTGGACCACTTAGGTTGTGGTTGGTTATGGATGTCGTAGTTGTAAGTTGCAATAACATCCATTGGTTGCAGAGGTCGGAGTTGGGAGCTACATGAGTTGTGAACCACATAGGTCGTAGTTGGTCATGTAAGCTATAGTGGTTGTTGCAATAATGCTTGTAGGCCACAGAGGGTGAATTTGAGAAATGCACAAATTGTGGACCATGTAGATTGTATATGGTCATATAGGTCGTAGTGGTGAGCAATGATAACTTCTTTAGGCCACATATACTTGAGTTAGGAGTTGCATGAGCTATAACTCGCTTAGGTCGTAGTGGTGAAATATGATAATGTTGTAAGCCACAACAGCTAGAGTTGGGATATACATGAGTTGCGTATCACTTAGGTTGTAATTGGTCATGTAATCCATTGTCGTGGGCTGTGATAACTTTCGTAGGCTACAGAGGTCAGAGTTGGGACCTACATGAGCTGGTCATATCGGTTGTGGTGGTGAGTTCTGATAACGTTTGTAGGACACAAAGAGTCAAAATTAGGAGCTACATGAACTATGGACCACATATGTCATCGTGGTGTGGTACAATAACATTCATATGTCACATAAGCTGCAGTTGTGAGCTGCATAACCTACGAACCACATAGGTCATAATTGGTTGTGTAGGTTGTAATTGTGAGTTGTGATAACGTTCGTAGGCCATAGAGGCCAGAGTTGGGAGATGCATGAGTTGTGTACCATGTAGGTCGTAGTTGGTCAAGTATGTCGTGGTGGTGAGCTACAAAAATGTTTGTAGGACACAAAGACCAAAGTTGGGAGCTACATAAGTTGCGGACCATGTATGCCATAGCCGGTCACATAGACCGTAGTGGTGGGCTGCATGGAGATCAGAGCTTTAGGAGATCCAAGAAAGTCTTTGTATATTGAGTACGGTGGTTGTAAGCAATTATTATGAAGTGTGTTGCTATATCATTTTTAGAGGCGTTATTTTAACGAAAGCGGGGTGTATTGTTGCAATGTATTCGGAGTGAATTGTTACACTGATGCTGGGTGCGCCATATACAATCTTTGGGGTGTGTTGCTACACTATATGTGGGGTGTGCATTGCGTAATCTTTGGGGCGTTGTTAAATTGACTTTAGGGTGTATTGTTACACCATCGTTAAGGTGCATTATTTTGTAGGATGCTTTGTTATACCGCAAGACTGATTGTTGCTCTGCAAGGTTAGTTGATACTCCACACAGTGCTTCGTTACTTCGCAATGCATGTCATGACTCTGTAAGGGCTTAGTTACACTGAGCAAGGGCTAGCTGACAGTGGTAGACAACGACTGACGAGCAGAGTTTAACTGCGGTCGAGCGATGGTTGACGGCGACCGGGGAACAGTGTTCAACTGTGGTCGACTGCTATAACAGTGGGTGTCTTTTACTGTACATTTGGTATAGAACAATGTACCTCAACTCCTCCAAGTTTCAATCTTTCTCGGGGTCACGATTCAACCCTCATTTCATGAAGGGTATATGGTTCTATTTATAAAATTTAGGAAAAGCCTACCTGCAAATAAAGAATGAATCAGGTTCACTCCATCAGACGACCCAGAGAAGTTTACTCGACCATACAAAATTTTATAAATATTTGAGTGTCTTAACAATGTCAGAATTGAGAGATCTTCGATTCATTGGATTTGTCTTGTCGAGACACTCGATTTGATTATAAATATGTCAATTTTGAAACTAGTTTGACCTTTCAATTAACCACCCGAATTTTCCAAAAGTTTCTTAACGGCCCCATTGGAGCTGATCTAACTCAAATTTGATAAATTTGGGTGTTATTGATCCCGCCTCGTTGAGCCGGTTAGTTTGGATGTAAGTTTGTTGTATTCGAAGTTTTGGATGATTTTTAATTGACATTTGAATGTTCTTTGCTAAAAAAAGTATCTCAAAATTCACACCACGATATCCGATCGGATGATGAAAATATGTTGATGGTGTATCAATAATGATCGCCATCAAGAACATACCATTCAAATTGAATACTAGAGAATCAAATTTTGAGTCTTATTTAAGATGTTCTCCAATACTTCTTCAACTTTCACTATAAAACAGTCTCTCTAAACCTCTATAGCGTGTTTATCCAAAAAACAAAAAAAATTACAATATGTGATTCACATCCATATTTGAAAAATATTCACTTGAACTATATTATATTGTTCGATGAAATAATCATTAGTAATATATTATTCATTTGCTATTTCTATATATATATTCATAATCATTTTACTATCAATCAAAAGCATCCGACTCATGGCTTCTTTGCTCTTGCTTGTACCTAATGCGCCATTGGAGTTGTCATCAATCAATGACCTAATCCGAAGGTGCATATGACTGACATAATATTGTCTTCTTGAATAGAGATTTAAAACTTTGAGGACAATGAGGGAGGAACATAAGCTAGGGCTAATGGTGCTAAATCAATTTGTTCTTGAAGAACTTAAAGCGTTACCAAAATAAATCTGATAGTGTAGTAGATATATGGGATTTTGGGGTTGTTTAGTCTGCTGAAGATTAAATGCAATGTAAAAGAATAGCATAATATTACAATTACAATACATGTTGAATACTCTGAATCTTGTGGCGCAATGTGTACAAGCGCATAGCACTGAACCACAGGGGAGAACGTATAGGTACGCTTCCGGTGGCTATTATAATTTTTTTTTTTTTTTTTTTTAGAAAAATCAGACCACAGCCAGAAAGCTCCCAGCACACCTAGATAGATGCGGTGTGAAAATGTTGTTTTCAGCGTTTTGAAAACGCATAAACTGTCAAAATACAGTTTACCCAAACAGATCATGCGTGTTTTCAAAACGTCGGTCACAATTTCCTCACTTTGTCGTGTTTTGGTAATTTGGTTACAAGGGAAGGAGAGACAAATGTTTTAGGTTTGTTTATTAATTTTGATATATTTTAATAATAATTAACATTATTACATATCAACTAAATTAAATATTTTAAATTATTTTTAATTAATCTTGATAATTATTATTTAAATTAAAAATGATAATTTAAATAAATTTATACTATACATATTTATGTTTTTAATTAATTTTATAAATTACTTATAATAAAAATTAATTTGGTTATTTTCTTCACCACAATTTAAGATGAATGTTACTTTTTATAAATTTTTAATTGGTATTATTTATAATTAAATCCATCATATTACTTATACTCAATTAATTAACTAACATTTATTAACTTCGCCATCAATAATTATTAATTAAAATTCATTTAAGCCAACATATTTAAATTTAGAAATAAATAGCTAAATAATATATAAGAAATTATTAAATCATGGATCACAGAATCCCCCCTATAGTCAATTTTCGGAAGCCCTAATATTCCACTAGCTCTAAACCGCCCGGCATCCTCCGTCCTACGGTTTCTCGGCCTAGCAGAGATCATGGCCGAAGAGATAACCAGTAACCTCCAAGATATGGAGGAAGTAGAGACCCCAGTGCAGGAGGAGATGGATCTTGTGACGGACCTGCCCGATGAGTCCATCGTTAGAGAATCCGCTGCAGATCTTCCCGACATGGCGGAGAACGGCGGCTTGAAGAGGGGGAGAGAGGAGGAGGATGATGGGGATGAAGGGGGTACGAAGAAGCCCAATTTGGAGAAGTCTGTGGAAGAGGAGCGGCTTCATAAACTGGAAAACGAGGAGGTGGGTGGAGAGGATCGAGGAGGGGAGGAGGTGAAAAAGACAGTGGAGGTAGAGGAAATTAGAAAGGAGGAGACGGATCCTGCTGCTGGAAAAGTTGGACCGAAGGCGTTCGTCTCATCTGTGGAAATGTTTGAATATTTTCACAAGTTGCTCCATGATTGGCCTACCAATCTCGATATTAACAAGGTTAGTTTTAGTCTCCGTTTTTTTTTTCCTTTTTTTATTATAAGGTTTCGTATTTGTTACTTACCTATATGAAGAGAATTGATTTTTGGATTCCAGACTGAAGTGTTTGTACGGTTCCTTGCCCGCATAGTTATTGAAAATTTAGGGCAGATGTTTTTGGTATCGATGGCTAACTAGATCTTCAGCGTTTATCATACCACATTTCCACGGTAATGATGACCTCAATTGAACTTCAAAAGAAAATATAAGTTCTAAGCGTCTAGTGCAGGGATACGAACCTTTTTGTGCAATGAATCATTTGCTTTAGCTTTCTGTACAGTAATGCGTATGCAATAGCAAATTGTAAGAAGAGATTAGATAGAAAACCGGTAAATTTATCCAAAGGAGGTTTGGGTTTGGGGTACAAAAGAGTTGAGTAGAGCTAGAGTTATCCTCGACTTGAGCTTGAGCTTCATTGATTAATCTTATACGAGCTCGAGCTCGAGCTTAATTCTACGAATCTGAGCTGGCTCACTAGCCTGCTCATTCATTATGAAGGAGAAAAAATAATATTAATTCAAGCTAGTTTTATGATAAAGTGACGAATAGAATGAGCAATTAGATGATAAATAATAAAAAAATCACTTGATTTAAAATATAAAGGTTCATTTTTTTCTTACATTTTTAATATTTTAAAAATAAAGTTTTGAATTTTAATATTTTGAATATATTTTATATTAAATTTTCTTAAACGAGTCTACTCATGAAATAATGAGTTAAATCGCGTTGACTTGAGCTTAGCTTGTTAACTTGTCAAGCATATCTCACGAGCTATTTATGGAACTGATCCTGAGCTAGCTCGTGGTCAGCTTGTCTCAGTTACACTCCTAGTTTGGGTTTTTCATTCCTCATTGAAATTAGTGAAAATAAAAGTCAAAATTTATCTGTCCCCTTTTTTTTTGTATTTTAGAAATAAATTGAGTGATAGTTTCACTTATATATCTAAAATAAATAAACATCTTATAAGTCTTAAGAATTTGATAGTAGGAATTGCAAAGATGCTTCTTTTGCTACATACTAATTATATGGAAAAAAAGATAATTGCAACTTCATAATAGGAAATGGGTTCAAGGTAACTTCAAAATTTTCTGCACCAAAGTGTGTTCTTGTATATATCCCATTACATTATGGTCATGGTGATGCTGCACCCATCATTTAGAGGACATCATTCCTCGTGAAAGGGTGATATTAGCTCAGAAATATGGATTCAATAAATTCAAAATTTGAGCCATGATATGACTGAATCTATAATTACTATCATGAGTGTGATGTTGACATCACCGTAGAAATAATGACCATGTAAGTTAGATTGCCTCAGAAATAAGGACCTGTTAAAAACTAAGTTAAATAGATGCCATTGAGATAAATTTGTTGGATTATGAATTTAGATGCAAAAGTCAAAAATGATCTTCATTTTTGTGTTATGTGATCCTGAAGAAGTGGAATATGGATTCCGTTGCCATCTTGTAAACTTTTGTACTGAATGTCACGGATGGGTGAGATGCTTATTTAGTTATGTTTCTATTAGATGAGATATTTATTTCATTTTTAAGGATCCAAGGGGATGTTCGAGATTAATAAAATTTAATGCTCAAGATGGCCCCTACATTTTGAACTTTAGAGCACTTGGAAGGATTGTGTTGAATGCTGCTTAGGTTTTATCTCAATGCAAGAGTTATGATAATCAACAAGATCTTGTTTTGCATGAAAATTAGGCTGAAAATTCATGTTCACTGGAAAAAGTTCATATTCCCAAACCAAGTGATTTATTTCACCAAAGACCTGGCGTTGCAAGCAAGGTTTCTGAGCTGATTTTAAGTCGCGAGCAAATTTTGATGATCTCCGACACTGGAAAATGTAAAATTTCAAGCAAAAGATAAATATGAAGAAGACTAATAGTTGTGTACTCAGGCTACCAAAATACATGGGTGTGTATTCTTGTGAGTATGGGTGCATAACTGTGTACTTCTACTTATATATATGACACTGCTTAGATTATCCGTTCGCCATAATTTCACATCAGCAGTAGAGAAAAGTAATTCTTTTCCATGATGTTGACACATGGTTGGGTTACGGTATTCAGTTTATCCAATTTCAGTTATTTTACCTTTGCTTGCTTGTATTTAGCAACAAAACAACAAATTCAATTGGGAGATTAGGTGCAGGGAGGTGGGATCTCTATGCTTTGCATTGCTTGCATTTTTTCTTAAGAAAATTTTCATTTTTTTAATAAAAAATATCAAATTTTATAATACAAAAATGTCATCAATAGAATCAAAATTGGTGCTACTTTTTAAAATTAAAAAGGGAAAAAATGGTGCTTTTATTGCTGTGAAGAAATTTATTTTGTGAATTAAATGAAAGTTTATAGAGCAAATGGCTGAATGACTAAATATTAGACAAAATATTTACTTTTGTATTATTTTGAGATACATGTTGCATGATGCGTGGGAAGCTGAGGACCTTTTTGACATTACTTTTGTTGTCTATTTTTATTTTTATTTTTTTGCTTTTATTTTTGAAAATATGTTTGGTTAGTATAATTTTTATATGTTTTTGTTTTTTTTAAATAACCTTGTTTTTAAAAACACTCAAAACACCTAAAAGATGTTTCGAGTATTTTTGAAAACAATCACAACAACTAAACATGCTTTAATTCAAATCAAAACATAAACAACCTAGAATAAAAATAAAAAAATAAAAGTGATCCCAAACCGCACCTGAGAAATAACAAATTCCTCAGATTCGACATGTTTTGACAGCAGAATTCAGGTTCCTGAATTACTAATTTTATCTTCTCTCACTTTGAGTGAGTGGCAAGACAAGGGATTCAGTAGGGAGCTATGGTTTATTTCATTTTGAGTATTTTTTTCTTCATAAGAAAACTACAGTTGTTTTAATTAGAACATCATCAAATTTTGTAATGAAGCATTTTTCCTTCAAGCAAATCAAAATTTTGCCATGATTGTGTTAAATGCTTCACATTTTGTCGGTAGACCAATCTCAGGGGTGTAGATTAGTTAGCACTACTTCACAATTAAAAAGAAAAATCAATATTGCTTCTATTGCCAAGTGACTGTTTGGATCACTTTTATTTTTTGTTTTTACTTTATTTTTGTTTATGTTGTGATTTGAAACAAAACATGTTTGGTATGTTTGATTATGATTGTTTTTTAAACTCAAAACGCCTAAAAATTATTTTGAGTGTTTTCAAAAACATGTTTATTTGTTTTTTAGAAACAAAAAATAAAAAAACATGTTAAAAACATTAAACAAACTTATTTTTAAAAACAAAGGAAAAACAAAATAAATAAAAGCTCATGTTGATTTGAATTAGCTATAGGCATTAGGTTGAAGCAGTTTAATATCAAGTGAAGCAGAAACAATTTGAAGATCCCTCTAAGACTGCGAAAACACAAACATTTCGTCTTTTTTATCATCCTGTTCAGAATTGTAATGCTGCCCAGAGATTTACTCTTACAGTTCAGATTTAGTATAAATGGATAACTAACTATAATGTGCTTTTGAAATAAAACTGTTGCCTATTATTATGTGGGCTACGCCCTGCTTTATTACCATAGTATTTTTTATTAATGGAATTCTTGGCGCAAGCACTCTTTCTATTCAAAAAAAGAAGAGAAATTTACATACATATCACACTATTCTTATGTATTTATATTTCTCACACCTAAACTTTTGTAGATATGCAAGTATAGGTGTAACATATGTAAATACATAAGAATTGTGTGCTATTTATTTAAATGCCCCTTAAAATTGTTTCCAACTTAACATTTGCAATCATCATCTTTCAGTATGAGCACATGGTTTTGATGGACTTGTTGAAGAAGGGGCATGCCGATGCTGTCAAGAAAATTGGAGGAGGGATTCAAGCCTTTCAGGTGCGTTATCACCCATCATGGAAGAGCAAGTGCTTCTTCCTCCTCCGCAATGATGGATCCGTCGATGACTTCAGTTTCAGAAAGTGCGTGGATCACATACTCCCTTTGCCTGATAATATGAAAGTTTCCTCTGCTTCTCCTAATGGCAAGAAAGCTTGGGGCCAGCATAATGGTGGAGGCGGAGGTGGAGGCCGGGGAGGTGGCGGAAGAGGCGGACGAGGCGGACGAGGCCGCGGAAGTAGAGGTAGATAGAATAGGAATGCCTTGCTGCTCTATTTTGGATTCAGTGTCTTTTGATATTTAGAATGGTATTACTCGGATTTTGGACATATGTGCTAGTTTGTAACTTAGTTTTTTTTTGGGCTTACATGAGTGTTATTTTTTGGTGTTTTGGTTGGTTACATGATAGTTTATCACAAGAATTTTCCATTTTGAAGGTGGCATCTTACATTTTTTTATATATTTACATATCTAACACCTAATTACATATTTTCGTGCATAACACTAATCGGGACATCGCATTAAAAATTATTATTATTAAATAACTTCTTAACAATAAAATACATTTTTCATGCATGTTTATAACACAAAAATGTTATAAGTATAAATAACTAATTTTAGGTGTTAGATATGTGAATGCATAAAAATAGTATGGTGTGCATGTAAATTTTTCTATTATTGTCCCCTTTTAAGATAGGTATATATTTTAAAACTTTTTATGGTATTGTGTTGGAAGATATATTTGAGCTGAAAATATAATAATTGAAAAAAAGAATCTAATAGTAAAATTATTAAAGAGTAAAGGGTACATTCTCTCCATGCGAACCCCAAGCTCGCAAGCCTCTTTACCCATTGACTAACCAAACCTTGAATTCAAATTTCACATGCTTCTTGTCTCAGCCTCTACCACTAATGATGATTAGGGCTGTCAATTTAGCTTGGAGATCACTAATTGCTTGAAATTTGAATCGAATTTTTAGTTCGTATCGAAATAAATGAACCGAGCTACGAGCCAAAATTTTGGATCGAATTTTTGAGTCGACCCCAACTCGGCTTAAATTCATATCGTTAATAGCTTTAATGATGTTAGCGAATTTAGAAACTCCGTCTTCTCATGACTATAATAGTAAAAAATATTACATCAAGAGTCCTGTTGCAAACTCCGTCAGAGTTCCAATTATAATGTGTCATGTGTATGATCTAGCCTCGTCATGTGTAATTATTGAGTTTTTAATGTTTTGTGAGTTCTGATCGTACATATGACTCATTATGATTGAAGTCCTAATATAATTTTGGTTGAAGACTCCTTATTTAATATTTTTTTCCTACAGTAGAGATGGATCGAAGTTTGGGCATTAATTGAAAGCACCACAATTTCGAATTTTTATTCGGTACGTGCACCGCATGAACCCCACCCCTAAATGCGGTCCCAAATAAAATTTCGCCACGTGGAATGCGATTCCACGTGGCTTTACAGCTTAAAAATAAGCGTTTTTTACGCCCGACCCGACCCGATACTCCTTTTTGACGAAAATGTAATGCATAAGGCCCTTTCCTGGTTATACCCAGATTTAGTTTCGCACTTTAGGGTTTGCAGCTGCCGAAAAGGACTGCTCTGCCGACGACGAGAACGACAACAGCTTCCAGATTTGTGCGAGTTTAGTTTCTTGTATCGGATCTGTACAAATCCTATATGTTTCTTCATTATGTAGTTTGTTGATCTGTGTGAGTTTTTGCAATCCATATCTTAGGTATATCGTAGGTTTAATAAGTTTTTTTTTTTTTATTTGGAATTTTTATTGCATTCTTCTGGGTTTATCAGAGGTTAGTTTTATTCGAATTTGTTTCTGTGCTTGTGTTTAACAATCCAGATCTTGACAGTATTCTCGTGTAATTTTTGTTAATAAGGAATGTTGGGGTTATTGTGGGGTGATTGTGATATTATTATGATTTTATTGTTGTGTTGTGTTGTTGTACTGTTGAAGAGACTTTTTTGCTGCGGCTTTATGGTTTTATCATTGTGTTATTATGGTGTTATTGTCTTTGCGGTATTATCTCTGCAGTATTCCGGTGTTATTTTTTTAACGAAGGATGTTAGTGTTATTATGGGGTTATTGCGGTATTGTTATGGTTTTATTGTTGTGTTATTGTACTATTGAAGAGAGTTTTATTATCGTGTGATTATGGTGTCATTGTCCTTCCTATTGGTGTTATTGTGAGATAATGATTTATAGTGTTAACTGGGTATTAGCATTGTTTTGAATAGTGTGAGGTAGTTTTATATTTTTATTAACGATTGATGTTGGTGTTATTGTTGGGTTATTGTGGTATTATTATGATTTTATTATTGTGATATTGTACCGT